ATCATTTCATTTCTTGAAGTATAGCGTTTGTTACAGGTAAGAAAGGTTCTTTATTTGATAATATCTGCAATAAACATGCTCCATTCGAACATGGTATAATACTTTCTGCTATGAATTTGTTGTTAAATCTGGTTTTACATTTCGTGTGCATTGTACTTTGATTCAAGTGACAGTAATTTTGGTGGCTTGCAACTATTAATCATTTTGTTGAAAAATCAAAATCAATATGTCTTCAATCTAGTAATGATGAGTATAGTGCTAAGGTGATAGCTAGCCGAGTTATAACTAGTTGTTGTTCCCGACCTTTGGTAGTGTAATGCCATTGTTGTTCCCGACCTATGGCTCTCTTCCTGCTGTTTGATCGGTTTTGGCTTGGGAGGAGGCAAGTCTAGCACTCCATTTCACTCTAACCCAATATCAGGCAGTATGACCCAACTTCGAACATATTGTAACCTTTGGCTACATTCATGTTGATTCAATTATTCTTGAAATGTCTTATATTCCTTCTGTAATAGTTTGGCGTTGATTAATAGGTGTCTTTCAACACCTTCCTGTGAGTAATGGCTTTTCAACTACGGATTGCTTCAATTATTGAGGCCTTATAAAAAAGTGTTATGTAAGCTTGTTCATATGGTGAGCACTACATATGGAGAAGAAGCAAGCACTGCCTGTCTAGGTGAAGAAATTGATGATTTGATGCCAGGAGACGACATTGCAGAGTTGTGTCCCTCACCAGAAAACTTCAATTCTGACATGCCAATCTTTGGACTTAGTTTATGTCGTTTTTCCTTTTACGACAATCATATTTTTTCCCAGTCAAAAACAAAGTGGAATTCGTGCAGCATAATTCCATGTCGTTTTCCTATTTACGACAGATTGTAAATCAAAATGGATATGAAGAATATTCGGATATATTCCACTTCAGTTTCTTTTTTTCAACTTCCTCTGAGATTGGTCTAAACAAAATTTCACATTTTTCCCCCTATTTCATAGTTAGATTGTTATAATTTTGAGTTATAAGTATTTGTATAATTTTTTTCTAATACTTCATTTTTTTAATTATATAAGGAATTATATTTTTTTACATTACACGTAATTATTATATAATTTTTTAACTTTTATATAATAATTATATATTTTGGTCATGATTCAAATTCAGAAAATAAGACAACCAAACACTGGTTCGAATCACATTTCAGGTTAGAATCAGAATCATGCATATACACATCCAAACGAAGGTTCTAATCACTCTGAATCATGATTCAAATCATGAATCATGGATCTGAATCAAATGACTCAAATCACCCTGATTTCAATCCTTATACCAAACGGACCCTTATATTCCATCCACTAAAATGTTATACTATATAAGAATATAAATGAAATAATCTAATAAATTAATAATAATAGTTAGTAACAAAATTACGTGACTAAAAAAGTTAAAATTAAGGTCCCGTTCATTTTACCGATTCGAGTTTAAAATTTGAGTTTTACTACAGTAAAAGGGCCCGTTAAAGTCACTTATATTCCATCCACTAAAATGTTATACTATATAAGAATATAAACGAAATAATCTAATAAATTAATAATAATAGTTAGTAACAAAATTACGTGACTAAAAAAGTTAAAATTAAGGTCCCGTTCATTTTATCGATTCGAGTTTAAAATTTAAGTTTTACTACAGTAAAAGGGCCCGTTTAGTTCGTTGATTCGAGTTTTTAATTTGAGTTGAGATGTGATTTTATGTGAGAGCTTTTTGCTGTAGCAAAAAAGTTAGATGTGACTGTTTATGAGAGCTTTTTACTGTAGTAAAACTCAAATTTTAAACTCAAATCAGCGAAATAAACGAGACTAAAAGCTCTCAGAAACAGTCACATCTATTTTTTTTACTACAATAAAAAATTCTCACATAAAGTCACATCTCAACTCAAATTAAAAATTTAAATTAACAAATTAAACGGACTCTAAACTTACCATGTCAATCACTTTGACGAAAAATGAAATAAAAATCATGATGTTTAAACTCCACACTCATAAAATAATAGGTCGTAAGTTAAATTTCACCTATTTATGTAACGGACCCACCTTAGTAGCGGGTTTTAATCCCACAGCACGAATAGAGGTGCTAATTGACTTCTTCATTCACAAGTGAGACGACTCTTAGAGGACGTTTGGTTGGAGGATTCAAACCATCTGATTTGAACTATTTTCGATTTACGTGAATTTTTTATGAGAGAAAATATTGTAGCGAACTATGAATCATGATTCAAATCAGGGAATAAATCCCTCTACCAAACGGACCCTTAAATGACGTGCCAAGCATTCATAAAATGACATGTGTAGATTTTTATTTGTTTATTTTATTAATTTAAATTTAAATTTTAAATTTTATTATAATAAAAAAATTTTAAAATAATTATATTTAATTTTTTTATTAGAATAAAAAATTTTCACATAAAATTATATTTTTTTACTCAAATTAAAAACTCAAATAAATTAATTAAACGATCTAGTTGAGCGAACGGGTGGAAACAATTTTGCTCTCATCATCGTCTTCCTCCTCCTTGTAATTGGGGCTTTTTCACTTTTCCGATTTGCTGTTTCAGAGAATTTGCAGAGACATGAAAGTAGTGCTCGTCTTCCTCGCCATTTCTTTCGCTCTCTCTCACCTCGTATTGGCCGACCAGATCTTTCCCTTTCACGTCGGTAATAATTCTTTTCTTCTCTATAAACTTTCGTTTTCATTTTCTCCTTATTTTCGTTATTCTCTTTTTTGCTCGATTGTAGCAGAATATTGGCTTGAATTTGTTCTTTTTTTTAGCTTGAATTCCGTGACAATTAGATACCAAAAAGAATTGTGTTTTTAGTTCTCAATTTTTTTGTGTGCTTTTGAGCGTAAAATTTTTGTCGAAATGTGAATAATATGGTTTTATTTTGAAATTTTCTCCTCTGGTTTTGTTTTTGTTTTTTAATTATTATTATTATCTTATTATTTGACAAATATCAACAGGTGGGTCATTTGGTCGAAGCTCTCGTGAACCAAAATACAACATTAAGTTACATACCGAAGACTCGCCTTATAGTCCCGTGAGTTATTATTCTCATACATGTTTTCAGGTTTTTTTTTTTTTTTTCTTTTTTTTTTGTAATTGTAACGTTAATGAGTAAATCTTTGTCTTTCAAAAATTCAGGTGCTAGATCCAAGTGTGTGTTTCTACACTGTTTTGAATTCCAATTTTGTATTTTGAGTTTAGTTTGCTACTTATTTCCTTAGCTTGTTATTTAGAATCTCATCTATGACCAAAAAAGAAAATCTTAGTGGTGTAATCAAATTGATGGTGAAAATGCTTAGGTAAATATTATGGCCCTAGTGGTTGTTGTATACCTATCACAACTGTTTCCTTTTCTTTGTGTTTCGCAACAGATGAGCATGTCTTTTGTACCTGTTGATCACTTTCTGAGTGATTGATCTTATTGTAATGGGTGGTTTTTTTGCTTCAAGCATGAAATTTTTTGGACGTTTTTATTTTATGATTCAGTTCTAAACTTATGAACTTCAGTTTCTCCTCATGGGCTAATAAACTTCTAAGACATATATATCTACATAAAGATATATGATAGGTAGATGGAAGAAAGGAGACTTAAAAATGGGTTTTGCGAACTTTCTTTAAACATTAGTTCCATATACTGTTCTGTAAGAATTTTCCCTTTGTGCCAGAAGAAAAGTTATACATGGCAATCTTATAATTGGATGCACATTAACTGCAGGATGATGACCGAGAATCTGTAATGATGCCCAATAGTAATGGAGAGAGCTACATATGTTATTTGCCGAAGGTCGAAAAAGCCAAGAGTGGAAAGCCAGTTACTCAGCATAATATCAGCAGCTTGATAGTGGAGAGTGAGAAAAGGATTAAGTTGAAGACACCAGATGAGCTCCTTGAAGAACTCAAGGACCGTTGCTTTGTTAGAGTGAGTTCTTAATTCAAAATCTTAACTTGGAATATGTGGTTCTCTCTCTAGCACTATTGATTTTAAAGAATACGTATATAGACAATAAGAAGAGTTCATTCACTTTGATAGTTGCTCGTAGTTCCGTTAAACAAACGCAAATATATCTCTAGATTGCTATTATGCCTCCATCATGCATTTAATCTGCAGCATTAGTCATCAATCTTTACTTTATCAATTCCTTTATGCAGCAAGAGGGATGGTGGTCCTATGAATTCTGCTATCAGAAGAGAGTACGACAAGTTCATTTGGAAGATGAGAAGGTATTTACTAATGTGTGTCTAAGATATTCTTATTTTCCCTTATGCCATGTTTTTTATGGTTTTTCAATCTTTTCTCTTTATTCCCACTTTGCTTTCCTTACAGCGGCAATTGAGTAACATGTAATGGTGTTGGCACATAAGCAATGCTGCTATTAAGCACCTTCTCCGCTGTTGGATGCACAAAAATATTTGATGCATCTCACTTGTCGTCAAGAGTTGGATGTTTTATTTCTCTCATGAATGCAACCATGACCTCCTCATTGTAGTAGTTAGGGCACTAGTAGAAGTACTTGTGTGCTTATATCACTTTTACTTCAGAAAGACAGAAACCTCTTCTTTTTTATTTCTTAGGATTTAATGCTTAACCCCGGTTACAGTAGTACATTTTGTTGCCCTTGTTGCCTTAACAGAACCATTTATAGTATAGTCAGAAATAGGGGTGTGCAAACCAACCAAACTGCATATTTTAGGTGAGATACAAACCAAACCAATTACAAATTAGTTTAGAGATTTTCAAACCAAACCAAGCCAAGCCAATTAAGGGATCTAATCCAATCCAAACCAAACCGATTATAATTGGTTTTGTTTGGTTTTTCTAATTGGTTTGAACTAATATTTTACAATCTCTTCTCAAGTCTCAACCATGACTGATATTAATATTTTGTATGATAGACATTCCATTATTTCTTAACTCAAAACATCAATAACTCAAGAATGAAAATAATCAATTCATACAGAAATGAAACATCTTAATTTAAAAATTAAATGTCCTGAACAAAATTAAAACTTTCAAATCCATAAAACATAAAATACTAAATTTGCGACTTCAAACAAATTTGTCTTTAATTCTAAAACTCTTTAGACTCCTAAAAAATGGTTTCTTTGATATACTTGCAAACTTCTTCCATAGTTCATAAAAATCTGAAAATGAATAAGTTAAAATTATATAAAATATATAATTTTAGTAAAATATATATAAATAGAAATTGGTTTGGTTTGGTTTTTTTTAGGGTAAAACCACAAACCAAACCAATATAATTGGTTTTTTAAAAATTTAAACCAAACCAAACTGATTATTAATTGGTCTGGTTTGGTTTTCTTTTGTTTGGTTGGGTTGGTTTGAATGGTTTGTTGCACACCCCTAGTCAGAACTTAACAATGCTAGCAACCGTGCCACTGGTTGTTTTATGCTTTTATAACAGGTGCTTCAGGAGTTTATACTTGGTGAGTATGATGCAGAAGCCACAGCAGCTTTCCACCAGAATCTATCAGACATTTCTACACTCAAGGATCCTCGCTCAAAAGATGCATCACAAAGGCAAGATTTTGTTAATGTGAAAGTTGATGCAACGAGTTGGAGGAAAAGCTTAATTCAGAAGAAGTGTGACAATAACTAACGCCAATCATATTTTTTTGGTTGTTACAGGTATCATGCTCACCAATATACGAATGGAACCATCTGTGACCTTACAAATCAGCCACGAGAGACTGAGGTATGAAGTTATTGAGCTCTAGATACCACAATTTCTTTTCCTGTCCGTGATGACAATTTCCTTCTTCATGTTCATTTTCAGGTGAGATTTATTTGCTCAGAACCCAGAGCTATGATTAGTTCTTTCACAGAAGTATCTACCTGCAAGTATGCACTTACCGTCCGAAGCCCAATGCTTTGTCAGCATCCGTAAGTCCCTCCCACCCTAATTTGACGGTAATAAAAGGGTTTTAATATATTTTACAATAATGAAATGTGCATGTGATGTCATCTTTTCATCCTCTTTCTGACAATTCACATTACTTTTCTCAACTTTAAAATGGCAGGTTGTTCCATGCTGAGAGACCAGTGTGGTACACCATTCACTGTAACGTGCTTCCCAAAGATTACAAGGAAACTAAAGTGGTGGAGGAGATAAAAAATAAGGAGGTTGTCATGGTAACAGACAGCGAAGATTCAACTAATGATGAGTGGTCCAACTGACTCTCAAAACAAGCCTATAAAGTGTATGGCTCTGATGTTTTTGGCTTTATAATTAGGCAGATCATATATTGTTCACAACTAGCTTTCCTTTCATGCAATTTCTTTCAAAAGAGCTCTTTTCTTTTAGAATTAGAGTTAAAATACAATATTATACACGTTCATAAAGCTAAATATTTTCTCAAGTCCAAGTTACCGTAATAATAAACCATGCAGAGTTGAATGAAACAAGTTACAGTAGAGAGAGAACATAACAATGTGATTCAAATCACCTGTCAATTTTGGTATCTTAAATGATATTTAACGAACCACATTATACTATTTCATTCAAAAAAAAAAAAGTTAAAATGCTTTGTTCATACTTTATGTTAAGATGGATGAGTGGCCATATAAGAATGGATCGCATAAGGAATGAAGTTATTCGTAGTAAAGTAGGTGTAGTACCAATAGAAGATAAGGTGCGCGAAGGCCGCTTGAGGTGGTACGGACATGTCCAATGTAGATCGCTAGAAGCACCAGTTCGTGCTTGGGAGGGCATTGTTATACCTAATACTAAGAGAGGAATGGGTAGACCAAGAATTACGTAGACCGAAGTAGTTAGAAAAGACATTCTAGATCTAGACCTTTAGGAAGTTTAATTTCGAATAGAACTGCGTTGAAAAGTGAAATTCACATAGCCGACTCTAATTAAGTTGGGATTAATGCTTGTTGTTGTTGTTCATGCTTTAATGTTTGAGTTCTTTAAATGATGTGGCATAATATGATTGTTTAGACCAGACTGTAAGTTTCGGTATGGACAAACGGGCCAGTCCAAAGCCTAACATTTTGGCTCGTCCAAAGGAATTCAAGTCGCTGGTACTTTAGCGACAGCTTTAATGGTCGTGGTTAGGTTGTTCGGTATGTAACTATCATCTTACTCTTACGTCTTTGGTTTTTTTTTTTTTTGAATAAAAGTGAAGTTTACGTTATATTTTATGATGCTTTTCCTGAGAATTGATTCCGTAACAATTGAAAGAGCACCAACAAAAGAAAAATGAAAGATTAATTGTTTTAATTAATTCAACATAAATTGGTTGAATAAATGCTTTTGTTTTTATTTGATATGTGAATGCATATATAATTATTTTAATCAGATTATTTTTTATTGGATTATTTAAATTAAAACTAGAGTTATATATATCATTTACGGATTAAATAAAGGAAAAAAAGAGCTAGAAAATTGGGTCCGGTTAATCGGTAGTATACTTCTGGTTAACCTGACGTGTTTTAAAAACATGGACTTCGTCTGTGGTCTAGTTAACCAAATGGGCCTACCCGGTTAGCCAGACGGTGCCCCCATATTAACCGACCTATAGCAATTTGTATCACGAATTCGACTCTGAAAATTATTCTAATTGCGGAGATATGACCTTCCTACCTATATAAGTAGCCATTAAAAACTATTAACATTTAGATCATTTGGGAGGGCTATTGGTGAGCGTTTCTTGAGAGGAAAAGTTGATCAATCATCAAGATTGATTCTTTTTCTTTGACTCTCTTGTGGTTGGAAGGATAGAAGATACTAAGAGAAGATTAAACGACGTGCATCCCTGTGCACTCCGGTCGTAGAAAAAAGAATAATAAAGAAGTTCAGTTAGTTGATGTTCTTCCGGTCGTTATTCTCAATTTTGCAGTTGTGTAAAGTGTTATTGCTAATATCCTAGAAATGTGATTTAGATCTAGGACAAATTACACTTTTCTCCCTTAAACTATTGGCCTTGTAACAAAATGCTCCCTAAATATTAAAAATAACAAATTTTCCTCTTGAACAATTAGTCGTTAGCACGCGTCTCCCTTTTCCGCCCCTCGGTTAAATTTTGAGCGTTAAGTGATATGTGGAAGTCATTGAGGCATTTAATTTTTATTCTATTATGAAATGACGATTTTTACCATCCAAGCCCAGCCGTTGACCGGTCAAACTTGCCGTTGACCGGCATTGACCGGGATGGGGGGTTAGCCGAATGTGTGTCAAATTGAAGATCTCGAAGTGAAGAACACTTATTCGGGGGTCAATTTCTCCAAATGACGTCTGGTTCGTCAGAAAATGTTAAAAACTCAAAATAGACGGAGGCGGTACATCAGAGCTTCTTTGACACCGATTGAGCAAGTAATCATGTGGGTTTTGCTCCACTCAACGAGGGGAATATAATGGTACAACTTGCCGGCGAAACGGAGGTCAAAAAGCGTTGGAATTTGGTGTGGAGACAAAATTGACCAAAACTTTAACCGACACTTACAGGTGAACGGCGGCAAGATCGGCGACGAGATTCCGGTTATGAAGGTTTTTGTTGGTGGGCTCCATGGGGGGTTGGTGTTTGGTGACGGCCGGAGGCTGAATAGTTGCGGCTCAAAGTGGCAATGGAGCTTGTTTTTCACGTGCAAAGAAAGAAGAAAGAGAGAAAAAGAATGTGTAACGCCCTGAAGAATTAAACAAGATTAATTGAGGTAATTAAGATTTATTAGTGTGCCTAATCTGATTTAATTAATTGATTATTGATTAATAAATGTTTATGACGTGTAAAGTTGAATAATTCTTAGGTATTTAAATATTCTCAGTATTTACATTTTTACCCAGAAGTGTGTATGGACACATTTCTGGACTGTTATTTTAAATGTTTGACACCTGTCCACTTTTCTTTTCTTTTCCTCTTTCTTTTTCTTTCTTTTTCCTTCCTTTCCTTCTTTCCCTGCCCATGCATACTCTCTCTCTCTCACTCTCACTCTCTCTCCTTCTCCCGTTCAAAAATCTTCACCGAATCAAACTAGATTCGAACCAAAGGAAAATTTCAAGAAGTTTTCAATGCCAAGAGAAGGATTCGAGGTAAGGTTTCGGAAAAACCTCTCTTGATTATTGGATTTTCAGATTTTTAAACTTATTTTTGGTTCGAAATGGATTTTGAGTAAAATCATGGTAGAAATTAGAGATCTTGGGTTCTTTGGACTTGATTTAGTACTTAGAACCCGGATTTAGTGGTTTCCCTTTGAGATATCTCGATTTGGACTCAGATTTGCAGGTTTTTGGGCTGATTCCGCAGGTTTTCCTCACCCTGCTGTTCTTCACAGGTCGACTTGTGCGGTCGACTGGACTGCATTGAGTTCACCGGTCGACCTATACGGTCGATCGGACTGCATTGAGTCCACCGGTCAACCGAATTGCACACCACCAGTCGACCGGTGGTGTTGCACTATGCTGTCACCGGTCGACCGGTGTACATTGGGTTTGACTCTGTTTTGTTGAAAAACCCTGTTTTGAACTCGGTTTTTGAGAAGGACCCAAATTAGCTTCATTTGGGGACCAAGAGTATATGGATTAGCTTTTTTAATCAATGTTTTGAGATCTAAAACCCTTGGAATGATGATTTGAAATATGAAATGGTTTGTGAAACCGGCAATTGAATTATGGCACACTAATAGAAAATCTATGGTATAATTGAAATTGAAATTGCTTTAGGAATGTGAATTGGATCCTAAAGCGTGGTTTTGTATCAGTGCTAGCGGAGGACTCGGATTGAGGGGCTTGAGAAAGCGAAAGTCAGAATATACTAACGCTAGCCATAAGTTTGATATTTACGAGGTAGGATTCCCGATCCCTTTCTTTGTGAGCTTGTTTTCAAAGAGTTTTGGCCTTGCAAATGTTTTAAGGAAAGGGCATGTTTGTGAAAGAAAAGCATGTTTAAAAACAATAACTTGATTTTAGCTATTGGAATTATAATGAATTGTTTCATAAAGTTTAATGAATGATTTCTTAAGACAAGAGATCTTGTGAATCGGTAAACCGGCTGATGGCCTAGATAGGATGTGGAGAGTGCATCCTTGGGGGCAGAACTTGAAACCCGGCCCGGGGGTGATTAGGCTTATGCACATGGTTGTGTAAGTAATTTATTATAGTATAAATTACTTGCTAATGTCTGTAATATAGAGATTTTCAGTTATATTTTCTTTGAGAAAAAGGATATGAGGTTCCAGCTGAACTGAATGTCTTATTAATTCTTATTTATTTATTTACTTGCTTACCTATTTATTCATTTATTTATTTATTTATTTATAAAGTTATTTCAAAATATATCCTATTTGGCATTTCGCTCACGTTTTATTGTTTTATAAATGTTAAACCCCTCACAGACGACTCTAGGAGCAGTGCAGAGTAGCTGAGTTGCTACCACCCGATTAAGAGATGATTGTGTTCATCCTCCTAATGTACGAATGTAAGAATTTGTAAATTCTGTAAACTCTGATATTTAGATTTCTAGACTGTGGTTGATGTCTGTAATGTTATTTACACGCATCATGTATGTACAATGCTGAAGATCCTGTGGATAGATCCTGTGGGTGTAGCCCTGAACAATGTTAGAGGCGGGGGTTTTTAGCCTCTTGAGATGTTCTTGTAATTTATTTTTTGCACAATAGTGGGGCTCGTTTGGGAATTTTCTTAATATTTTATTCTTATTCGTGTTTAACTCCTAATCGAGCCTCCATGTCACCGACCCCTACCCCGGGGCATGACAAAATGAGAGAGAGATGAAGCGAGAATGAGAGGGAGAGAGGGGGAGAGGGAAATCGTCATATGTTCGTAGTGGTCTTGGGCTGGGCTTGTATGGACAAAATTGTCATTTCATAATAGAATAAAAATTAAATGCTTCAGTGACTTTCATGTGTCACTTAACGTTCAAAATTTAACTGAGGGAGCAGAAAAGGGAGACGCGTGCTAATGGCTAATTGTTCAGGGAGAAAATTTGTTATTTTTAAAATTTAAGGGGCATTTTGTTATAAGGCCAATAGTTCAAGGGGGAAAAGTGTAATTTGTCCTTAGATATATGATATATAGTATTATGAACAAGATATGAATTTAGATTGTTTTATTAAAATTTTAAAATTCCACTGTACAATTTTAATTTTCCCGTATATTCTAACAATTGATATCAGAGCCATAGTTAATTTTGTTTATGATCATGCCATGTACATAAATTTATGATCTAAGATATCTCCTTATGCTTGAATTGATATTTTAGAGAGTTGGCACTCTAGGATTTTTTGTATTTATTTTGTTATCATGAATGTATGGTGCATGCTTATTAAATAATTTATATTGATTATCGATTATTATTACTTAATTGTTTGTCTGTCATGGTTCCTTAGAGGATTAGAGTGGATGTAACCCACCGGTTAACCGTATGCCGCTATGTGCATTTGTCGATGTGT